GAGAATGACTGGAAAAAAAGAGCTAGGAGATTTTTGCGAACAGTTTGGATTTAATACTCTGCCTTCTTCTAAGAATTATGATAAAAGCAGATATAAAACTAAAAAATACAAAACAGGATCCAATAAAACTTCTGTTAAAGAGAAATTTTCTAAAAAGTTTTCTCCTAGAAATACTTCTTTTAAAAAAAGAGGAAAGAGAAGAATTCTTGTCTACTATAACTGTGGTAAAGTAGGGCATTATAAAAATAAGTGCAGAATTAAGAAGAAAATAGATGCTCTACAAATAGATGAAAATATTAAAGAACAACTATTTAATATATTGCAAATTGAAGAAGAATCCTCTGAAAATTCTCTTGATTCAGAAATAGAATTGCTAACAGGAGAAATAAGGGACGAAGATTTAATTCTTAGCAGTTCAGACTCCGATAGTGATAATCTTGATATTGCATGATTTTGTAATACTCTTACTAAAGAAGAAAATCTAATTATAGACATAATAGATAAAATAACTGATCCAGAGACTAAGCGAGAAGCTTTAGTCCAGTATATAAATATGGCTAAAACAAATAAGAAACCTTCTCCTTCTCTTGTACGCACTCAAGAAGATTATAGTTTTGCCAATATTCTTCGAAGAGTAGAAAATAAAAATAATAACCATAAAGAACCTTCGCTCTCCGAATTAAGGCAGGAACTAAATGAAGTTTGTAATGAACTAATAAACCTGAAAAATAGAGTTCAAATTTTAGAACTAGCCTCTAACCCTATAGAGGAAAGCCCTGATGATGAAATAGAATTTAATAACATTATAAATAATTACAAGAAGGAAGAAGAGTTTCTCCCTAAAGGAAAAGATGAACCAGAATCATCTGACATAAATACAACGCAAAATTGTAATTATGTTAGTCTTCTTGATAAAATAATCACCCAAAGTGGTTTACTACAATAAAAATAATTGTCCATAAAGAATATAGTTTTCAAACTATTGCTCTAATAGACTCAGGAGCAGATTTAAATTGTATAATTGAAGGGCTTGTCCTTACTAAATATTTTAGTAAAACTACACAAGTTCTAAATACAGCAGATGGCAGTAAAATGATTGTAAATTATAAACTTTTCAATGCTGTAGTTTGTAATAATGGTAACTGCTTTGAGTTCCCCTTTATTATGGTTAAAGGATTAAGCAATCTGTAATTCTGGGAACTCCATTTTTAAATATGCTCTACCCAATAAAAATTGATAGATAGGAATTAAAGCCACTATAGAAGGACATAATGTGAAGTTTGAGTTTCTTGAGAAACCCAAAATTCGAGAAATCAATAATATTAAAGAGAGAATTTCTAATAAAGAGAATTCTTATACTACCTTAAGGAAGAAATAAAATATAAAACAATAGAAACCAAGCTCTTACTCCCTGAGAATAAAGGATAGTAGAAAATATTAAAAGTAATATTGAAAAAGAAATATGTGTTGAACTCCCAAATGCTTTTTGGGATAGGCAAAAGCATATTGTTATCCTGCCCTATGAAACCAATTTCCACGAAGAGAAAATTCCTACTAAAGCTAGACCGATTCAGATGAACCCTAGACTTTTGGAAATTTGTAAAAAGGGTACTGTTGAATTACTTCAGAAAAAACTTCATTAGAAACAGCTCTTCTCCTTGGAGCTGTTCAGCATTCTATGTTGAGAAAGCCTCTGAAATAGAACGAGGGGCCCCACGATTGGTTATAAATTATAAGCCACTCAATAAAGCCTTAAGATGGATAAGATATCCCATTCCTAATAAAAGGGATATGTTGGATAGACTTGTGAATACTTGTATTTTTTCTAAATTTGATCTAAAGTTTGGATGCTCTGGCAGATTCAATTTGCGGAAAAAGATCGATATAAAATTGCTTTAATGTTCCTTTTGGGCAATATGAATGGAATGTTATGCCTTTTGGACTAAGAAATGCCCCTTCAGAATTTCAAAATATTATGAATGATATCTTTAATCCTTATACTAAGTTTATGATTGTTTATATTGATGATGTCCTAGTGTTCTCTGAAAATCTTGAACAACATTTTAAACATCTAAATATTTTCGTCAAAGCAATCAAAATGGCAGGTTTAGTAGTTTCTGCCAAAAAGGTTAGCCTTTGTCAAGCAAAGATAAGATTCCTAGGACACAATATTTTCTAAGGCAGAATAGTTCCTATTGATAGAGCAATTGATTTTGCAGATAAATTTCCAGATATAATAAAAGATAAAACTGAACTCCAAAGATTTCTTGGTTGTCTCAATTATATTGCTGATTTTTACAAAGACTTAGCTATTGACGCCAAGCCACTATTTCAAAGATTAAAAAAGAATCCTTCTGAATGGACAGATGTCCACACTTCAGCAGTATGAAAAATAAAGATAAAAGCTAAAGAATTACCCTGCCTTACACTCTCAGATCCTACTGCTTTCAAAATTATTGAATATGATGCTTCAGAAATAGGAATGGGAGGAATATTAAAACAAAAAATTTCAAATACTGAACAATTGGTTTGTTTCACTTCTTGGGCTTGGAACCCAGCAGAATTATTCCACTGTTAAAAAAGAGCTCCTAGCTATTGTGCATTGTGTTACAAAATTTCAGAGTGATTTACTCAATCAAAAATTTCTAATCCCCATCGATTGTAAGGCTACAAAAGACATACTCCTTAAAGATGTCAAAAATCTTGTTTCCAAACAAATTTTTGCTCGATGGCAAGGTATACTCTCTTCTTTTGAATTTGAGATTGAACATATTAAAGGCACTACTAATTACCTTCCTGATTTTTTAACTCGTGAGTTTTTGCAGGGGGGACAAGAGGAGTTTAGCAAAAAAGGGAAAAATGGAAATAGTTCCTGTGCCAAGTAAAGCTTTGGCAACATCATCATCACCAATAACCCCAAAACAAATAGTCAAAAATCAAGCTCAAGAAATGACATTTTCTCCTGAACCAATAACGCTATCAATACACCCGGAGAAAAGAGTAGGTTCATAGAAACCTCTTTTATCATCATTACTATAATAGAAGATAATCATAAAACCAAGGACCCATGTGAAATAGCCGCTACATATTTGAATAACCACTTACACCCAAATAATGGAGACAAAGGCCGAGAATGGTATGAAACCATTCTCATTGAAACAAGATCTATTACCCTAGTCCATTTTTATAAGAAAAATACTAATATGATAGCATATTCCAAATTCCAAATAAGGAAAATAATTTCATACAAAGAATGGGGCACGGAACCCCTTGAAGCCTAGAAAAATGCAAAATGAAGGTTTCAATAATAAATATTATCAATATTTTGAATACATTAAAGCATGGCATGAGGTCTTTGCTTTTCAAAATAATATGAATTCCCATACGTAGTTTATACAAATAAATATACCAGTAATAGGAGATTTCCCAAACTGGTTTCAATTGTGGGGATCCGGAACAGAGATACTGCCATCTAATATTCAAGCTTCCCAAAGGAAGTTCATAGATCATAATAGTAATAGTCCCAAAATAGATCTCCATATGTATTTTATGGCTTTATACCAACTCCCATGGATCATGAAATGGTCCTACCATATATCAGATGACTATACAAATAACTGGGAATATATTCCTGAACTAGGTAGACAAATATACATAAAGTGGTGGGATGTTCACGAAAATGAAGCCCTAAACCCTGATAAAATAAAAATCCGAAAGGTACCATTTTCACCCCCTGATACAGAAGTAAATATGGTGGACTATTTAAATAAGCTTCGCTAACAAAACCTACTGCAACCGGGGAAGAGCTTAAAAAGAAGTTGCTACAAATATTCGATGAGGAAGAAGAAGGCATGTCTACTTCAACTCAAAATGAAGAAAACTATGAGCAAGAAAACGAGGATATGGATTTCGGAATATCACAATAAAAATATCACAATACACAAGACGAAACGACTGCAACCCAAAAGCACACGAGTCCTAAAACTGCCGACAAAATAGTACTGCCGACAGAATAGTAAAAAGCTACCAAAATAGTAACCGACAACATCCTTCACCTTTTCCTGTTCATACCAACAGTATCTTTCACTTTTTCCTGTTCATACCGACAACATCTTCCATCTTTTCGTGTTCACACCGACAACATCTTTTCCACCGACACCTTTAGGTCCCATCGAACAATACCGACACCTTTAGGTCCCATCGAACAATACCGACACCTTTGGGTCCCATTCAGCACCGACAGACTTGAAATAAAATTTTGGAGTTCGTAAGTTATAAAAGGAGGAAGGAGGCCATTCATCAGGAGCATCTGGAGTTTTCCCCCTTAGTTCTCTCTGCAACTCTCTCTCTCTGTAATCTCTCTGCAACTCTCTCTCTGTAATCTCTCTGCAACTCTCTCTCTTTGTAATCTCTCTGCAACTCTACTCTCTCTCTCTCTACTGTATATCTGGTGGTGTATCCAGCCAACCAGATCACATTTCTATAAAAGGATAAGAGTGTTTATGTATCTAAAATAGTAAGAGTGGGAGTGCTACATGTGTGATTGTAACTGGAACTTGTTACTCGATTACTGTCCGGACGAGTGAAAGTTGTTTTCCAGTTTCTGCAAGTGTCATATGTAAGTTATTTGTTTTTTTCTCACATGCAGTTCAAAATAGTTATCTATATAAAATTTTGGCATGTTATTTATGTGAATTGGTTTATCATTAATATATCAACTCCTTTGTGTGTTTTCTACTTAATAGTATTTATCTTTGCAAGACTGTCATTTTTCCTTTAAAGAGGTTCTTTTATATATGTTTCCTCTGCGTGTTGCTATGTTTCTCTCTTGATTTTTCATCTTATTCTAACACACTGCTCACATTTGACATTTAATGGTGAACCGCATATGTCATACTCGTTATTTTCTTTCTATAAGGATTAAATTATGTATGGACAGCTACCCTTCCACTGTGTGTGATTTGGCTGTTAATTTGACAATGTACTGTTTGACTTTTCAGGGGAGACATTTACGGATGTCGTTGGTAGCCCCTATTATGTTGCACCTGAAGTACTTCGGAAGCATTATGGCCCTGAATCTGATGTGTGGAGTGCTGGAGTTATCCTGTATATCTTGTTAAGTGGAGTGCCTCCATTTTGGGCTGGTAAGCAGTAGGTCCATATTCATACTATCTTTTCTTCTCTGAGAAATTGACTCTCCTATTTTTTAAAGGAAAATTACCCAAACCCCTCATCTAAAAGATCCTACACATAAGTACCCTCCCTAAGATTTTCTTCTCACAAAATACCCTATGAATATTTTTCTTTGCATTAATCCCCCTAAGGGATTTTTGAAAGCCGTTTAGGACAACAACGCCCCCTTTCTCTCTCTTCCTTTGGGTCTCCTCTCTCTAAACCTCTTTCTCTCTCTCTACCCAAGCTGAACCCTCTCTTTTGAAGCTATCCTCACGTACAATAGTGGCAATGGCATCTACATCAAATGAGGAGAGATTAGAAGTGGTAGAGGAAGAGGGGGGATGGCAGTAAGGGTTTCATTTTGAAAGAGAGAGAGAGATGATGAGGAGAGATTAGAAGGGGTAGAAGAAGAGAGAGGGATGGCAGGGTGAAGAGAGAGAGAGAGAGATTGGAAGGGTTAGAGGAAGAGGGGGGATGACAGTAAGGGTTCATTTTGAAGCAGAGAGAGAGAGAGAGAGAGAGAGAGAGAGAGAGAGAGAGAGAGAGAGAG